CGACCTTTCCGTATTATCTCGCTTTATCTACCGTACCGATTTTCCGCGTCCTAGACCTTAACACTTGCGGTGCTCAGTGGGATATGTAACCTATAAAGGTATTTCCTGAACTCCTTTGTGTGTACTAAACTTGGAACTGACTGTGAAAGGTTTTTTTACTATATAAAAAAGGGAATAGCATGCTAAATATCAAGTAAATTTATGTTCGAGAAACACGCTAAGTGACCCGTTACAAAAGTGTATAACTATATCCGTACAGCACATGTTCGAGGGGAACAAATTTATATCAATAATCAATTTACCCTTAGACGACCACTTTCAGTTGCTAATGTATTATGATCGATACATCACAGACTACGTACAAACACACGGTCTATTAAAGATCAGTCGCTCGCAAACAAGCAGTCAGTCTCACCTTGCGCGGTAAAGACGCATAGATGACAGAGTGTAGAGATCATAAATTTGTATCTTGTTACGACGTGGGTTACTGAAACTCAGATTTCGATAAAAATGAATGATTAATTATTAGAGGAACACGTTCTGATAAAAATCTACAGAAAAGGTCTGTAGGTACGCGATAATTATAACAATCTGACCGACTTTTCATTAGTTCCTAGTTTTTTTAAGTCGTTTAAAACCTTGTATTTGTAATTGACAAGTTTCCACACGTTGGTAAGTTGATTACCGGAATAATGAACTTCTATTACCAGTACGTCTTACCATTTATACAAGAACACACACACGACCGCAGGTCCTCTCTTCGAAATTTTAACTCCCTGATTACCTCCAGAGATTTTTCTAAATTTTACCCTATGAAATAATTTTTTTCCGCGCCATCACAAATGTCTGTCTTATAACAAGGCCGTCTTTGTCGACACTAGACCGAGAGGATCGTTCTTCTCTCCCGGTAGGGGCAAGGCCAGGGCCGACCTATCTCCACCGATTCTACTTTTTATAATAATAGGGGTGTTATTTCCGAGGACTACTGAAGACCCCCGGTGACAAAAATTTGACGATCTTAGTGCTCGTTATTTACTCCAGATTAAAACAGAAAAGACCTCAGGAGCGGGCCGGTTATCTACCCCATTATAGAGAAATAACAGTCAGGGGGCTAATTCTGTGACGTAGCTTTAATGCAAATGAGCTGCAGCTGACCACGCCCCCCCTGCAGGAGAGGGGAGCGTGCTTTGAGATCAGCTGCTGGGCTGTCAGAAGAGGGGGAGAAAAAGAGATCTCCGTCCTCCGTGTTTTTTTCTTATATGATTATATAGAGTCATTATTCATTTGTTTTAAAGCTCAATAATTAACAAAGAAGACCTTTGACCGGCACTTTTCAAATTTTTTCCGGAAGATTGAAACTTTAACGGACATGTTGACCGGCGAAAAAAAATCTAACTGAAACTCTGCCGCACGTTCCTTGGAAGAGGCTGAGAGGTGGGCGTTTGTCATCTGCTGGTGGCAAACCGGAGAGAATTACAGTGCTTGCCTCGACGGGGAGGGATTGCATTGAATTACAGGAGCAAACGCTTGCCTTGGGGAGGGAGAAAAAGAGCCACAGCGGAGAATAAACAGATGGGCAACCATGGCAACCATGCGCGGGAAGTCTTCTTCGCTGCTTTTGTGGCAGACTACAGCGCCACTTACAGGCCTGACATATGTACTACAGCGTCTCCAGCGCTTTCGAGCGGCAATGGCCGGCCGTGGCCCAACCCCACATTCCCCTGATAGGTGGAGAGTTGGCCATATAGGCGGAGCTCCTCGTTCCTGACGTCAGAGAATTTTCAAATCTGTATCAGTCTGTATCAGATCCGTTGCAGCCTCGTTTTTAGAGATTGGGTATTGAGGAAAAGAGAGAGGGTTGTGTTTTTCTGACACTTGATGAGTTCCCTGACACACCGGGGACACATATTCATGTATAAAATACGTACAAAAGTGCATTTTGCATGATAACTTTACCTTTAACTTATACAAACTCAGATGTTTTAAAGAACACCTGGCTAACATGACACTGTAGGAAGTCTGATATAGTTCATACTTGAGACCTGTTGAGAGGGACTCCTGGATTTTCTTACTCATCCCAAAACTCCATGTTCTGAGGTTAATGCAATAAATTAATGTGCCACTGAATGTCACACAATAGAGGCACAACAATACTAAATAAAGTACTTCGAAAAAACATCCTAACTTGTGATGATCAGTGCCTTTGAAGCTTTCAAGGAGGCAACTAAAAACCACAACGTCTTAAACTTTAACCTGAACTTAATATTTTAGCTTATCCCATAGTAATTATAAACCCTTCAGACAACCAGTGTTCAAAATATATAATCGGATTTATCATTAAACTGTGTGATTTGTGTTTTAAAAATCAGTTTGTTGAACTTTCTACCCCTAAAGGCCTGGAAGTGTGGCAATCTAAGCATGTATACTGCACATGTATTGCAATACTCTTTCCAAGAAGGAAAAATAAAACATTAATAAACATTTCCCAGATCTTGACAGATACATTTCACAACTGGAAGAATCTTGGGATGATGGTCAAAGTTCATGCTGTGAACACAAGAGACTCCTTTTCTTCTTTTACTGCACGTGAGTGTGAATTAAAATGTTTATGGTTCGAAAAAAAATAAAAACCCAGCAACCTGCATCTTGTTCCAATTTAAACTGAGTACTTTAGAGAGCAAAATAATAAATATTACCTTGATTGTGTTGGAATCAGTCCCAACCGTTTCCTTAGATATGTTTGTTTTTTAATGACTCACAAATGTGTAGTTTCAGTATTTTAATTTGCCCAGTTTTTCTGAGAACAGCTGGGCAGTGTAGTAAATGTTACTCATAAAATAATGCGTAGTGCATTTTGGGACTATTTAAAAGTCCAATGACATGGCCATTTCTACTGATCATAATTCTATTGTTGAGGTCTACTAGAATAGATTTACATTGTTCAATGTTCCAAAATCACATTGGTTTCTCATACAGCATCTCTGTATAGTATGTGTATTCACTCTCTGTCCTAAACGGCTTGTTGGAGCTCCTGCCCCCCCNAAGGAATCGCTCTCAACCTCTGGCGAACATAAAAGCACAACTACCGTTGTGGCATTTCAGACTAACTATTCCACGTATCTGGAAATACTACACTACCGACTACGACAGTACCTTGTCCCCAGAGACGTTAAAACGACCTTTGCTAGGTTCCGGAATTCCTGGAGAGGTGGTGAAGTGAACAACTGGGTCCCGCCCAATGGTCCATGCAGAAATCCCGGGAGCTGGCAACCAGCCGGTGTGGACTAAGGACACATCACGTCTTATCCTCACCATCCTCAAGGAAACCGGTCAAGCAAGAAGAGCCGACACCGACCCCGCTAAGAGGAATCCCCGTTCGCCAGGGAGATCCGCCCTGATAGCTTATGTTTCTATAGATCCACCCCCTCTACTAACCACAAGGAGTCAGTCCAGGC